TTTTTTTTTTTTTTTTCATTTGAAAAATAAAAATCCTTCTCATTGGATGATCAAGATACTTCTCAAAAATCAGAATATGGTTAATCAAGTACAATAAATTGGATCGAATTTTGCATTTTTTTTTCTTTTGCAATACATTGATGTGACATGAGCATAAAACTGCGATATTTTTATACTCAGTTAAAACTTCTCCAAAGAAATAGAGAAAAATAGCTTATAATATCAAATTGTATCTATTAAGAGTGGCCAAGGGACTCTATCTCTTCATTTGATATCACAAGCTAACTGAAAATTGTATTTGTGGTTGTAACTTAAATAAAGGCTCAACAATTTTGTTAGGACACAAAGGATTTTGTTTGGTTTCTCATAAAGACAATCACATTTATATGCAAATTCTGTTAGATTTTCAATTTTAGATTAGGACTCTTCATGTACAAATTGCAAAATATCATCATCATCATCATCATTTCCTAAATGTGGTCCTTCATTAAAGATAAGTTTTTCACGCCTTCAAGAATTGCTTGGCTTTTCACTAGTCAACAATGGAATTGTTTTTGCTACCACTTTCCACAATCTAAAGGTTCCTTCATTAGCTTTTGTAGCTTTTGTAAATCAAGCATAAACATTGATGCAAGAGTTTTCGTCAATGTGCCGATCACGTCACAAAGTGTCTTACGCCAATGGCAACCTAGTTGGATTAGGTGTAAGAATTGTGAACGTGTGAAGTCTTTCATAAAAAATGAATATTTTGCTACAAGTGCGGTAGTGTGTCTTCCTCTTGACACTTTAAATAGTCCACGTTTTAATCTCTTGTGTTTAGGAGAGCTATGTCTCAATATTTAAATCTCTAAGATTTAAAAGATGCAAATCACATATGAAGCATTTACTCTAGCAGTAGCCTGTGCTCATCCGAATTCCTGGATCCACCACCGATCAGGTGTAATGTTACGTGATCTCTCAATTCAATGCTGTTAACTCTTGTCCATTATGGACTTTTACCAAATTCCGATTGTGCCTTTGTGAGAATTCAGTAGAAATGTAAGTTTCGATTCTAAAAGTTCAATTTGGATGAATAAAGGTCCGAGGGGCTGTAGAAACTCTTGTAAGCACCTTTAACTCCCATCGAAAATGCAAAAGGACTGGAAATTGATGTTCAACTACCTTTACTGAGTAGTAGGAATGTCAACAAGCCAAAACTCGAGGCTTGGGCTCGGCTTGAGCAAAATCAAATGAGCTTTTTTCGAGCTCGAGCCGAGTTGAGCAAAAACTCGACCGAAAAAACAAGGCTCGGCTTGAACTTTAAGCTCGGGCCTTGTCGAGCCGAGCCGAGCCGAGCTCGAGCCTGGCCGGCTCGATTTTTTTTATTTATTATTATTATACAAGATTACGAATCTAACATTTTCTTAAAAAAATTAAAAATTGCATAATTTATTTGAGTTACAAATCAAATAAAAATTACACCTTATAAAATTGCATTACAAATTAAATAAAAATTACAACTTACAACCCTCCTCCTTTTTTCGGGCTTGGGACCAACTACTTGACGTAGGCGTAGTTAAAATTGTACATGAATAAAATATTTCGTGTACAATTTTTCTTGAAACAAATAAATTTAAAAATTACATATTGTTTTGAAATAAATTATTTTAAAAACTTACAACATTTTATTTTTGGATCTGTTGCAACTCTTCGGCCAGTATACTGTCAACATGTTTTTAAACACGTAATTCTGCATATTCCCAATCCTTCAAGCATATTAAAGCTTTCAATATATTTTCTTTTAGTTTTGAACATTCGTCTGATAAAATTCGACCACCTAAACTAAATTCAGCCTCTGATACTACCGTAGACACTGGAGGTGTTAGTAGATCACATGCAATTTTTGATACAATTAGATACTGTCTTTCATTACACCTTCGCCAATTTAGAAAACTAAATTCCTGTAATTCTTTTTCAGGTAACAAACTACGAACGTCCATGCACATATACCTAGCTAACTCGGAGGGAATTTCAAAATTTGTATTACCGACATTTATTGCTCTAGACATTGATAAACTAGAACTAAACGAGGGAACACTTGTATTGCTTTCCAAAAAATTCCATAAATTATCTGAATTTGTTGAAATATTTCTTGAAAAAAAAATTTGGGAAGTAGAACTACACTGGCCTTCTTTATCAGTATAATAATTATACATTTCAGATAACGTAGATTCTATATTCACATGTGATAATTTCACATTCATGAAATTTGAAATCCCCCTTTACAGTGGCTATTGTGCCATTCAATTTAAGTCGAAGGTCCATTGCTAAAGCTAAAATAAATAAAGAGGGTAATTCTTTCCAATATTTACGAAATTTTAACTCCATAGAGCAAACTAAATCAGAAAAGGGCAAATTCCTATATTTATGAAATGTTTGTGAAATGTAAAAAAAATGTTGTAAAATAAGTGAAGATGTTGGGTAATAAACTCTGCTACATTCTTGTGTAGCATCAAAAAAAGATTTTAAAAATTTTTTCATGTGAAATGCAAGAGACCATTCCCAATCTTCTAAATTATGTTCATGTCCGTATATATGCCTATCATTATAATATAATGAAATCACTTTATCGTAATTTTCACACGAATGTAACATAAGATATGTAGAGTTCCATCTATATATTACATCGGTGGCAAATGATTTCTCCTATAAAATAATTTTTCCTGTAAGTCATACCCTACACACAAACTGTTAAATGCTTGTTTTCTTACTAGTGACACAAATACGGTAATAAAATTTATTGCTTATCTAATTTTATCTAGAGGAGAACTTATATATTTTAATCCGGCTTTTACAATTAAATTGATAATATGGCATACACAACGTTGATGAAAAATAAAGTTCCAAATGTAGGGTTAAAATCATTAAAAAATCTTTTGATAACACCTTTGTTTATACTAGCATTATCAAAAGTAAAATTTTGAATCATATTTTGCATACCGTATTCTGTATGATATTTTTTAAAATCATGTATATGTTAGTAGCATTATGAGGATATTCTACACATCTAAATGCAATAATCTTTTTATGTAAAAGCTACAAGTGATTAATATAATGAGAAGTAGCAGCAATATAACCTTTTCTATTACCACCGGTCTATAAATCAGATATAAATGATATAACACTATTAAAAGTTTTTAGATTTTCAATAGCAACTTGTTTTCTTTTGTTACATAATTTTATAGTATCTGAACGAAGAGTCTTTCTACAATAAGAAGAATATCTGGTTTGGAGATATTTCTGCACGAGCCGGATAAAGTGTACTGAGTCTATCATCGTAAGCGGCATCTCTGCTGTAGCAACGGATGCAGTCATTCCTTCACGAAATCTTTCCTGTGAATATACATAGGTGGAAAGAATAGAACAAGAACCGCCAAACACTAGTTCGGTCTATTTTGAGTCGAAATCGACTGGTTTCACCTTGCAACTCCTTAATATGTGTCTATTCAAATGTGTTGTGCTCGAACTGGGCTTCCAACTAAGTTCTTTGCCACAATAATTGCAATATACTTTCCAAATATCCACTCCATTTTCAACACCAACTTTTTTACGTGTCATATGTTGCCAACAATCCGATGATTCTCTTTTTGACATTTTAATCTCGAGTACTTCTTCCTCTTCAATATTCTCCAAATCAATTGGAACATTTCGAGGTGCATCGTCGTAACCGGAGTACTCGAACTACCTTTACACTGATTAAACTCATCACTAGTAAAATCCATCTATAACTAGTATAGTATAAAATACAGAGTATTAGAGTATGAGAGTGAAAGAAATTAAATATGAGATTGAGAACAAAGAAATTTTAGTTGAAATTTGAATCTATAATACTGCAAGTTAAAATTGATTGAAACAAATTGGTTTGAAACTTAAAAATTTACCCCGTATTTATAGTCAAAAAAATCTATTTTACCTCCAAATTTGAAATTCAAATTTGAATTTGAAATATAAGCCTCGTAAATTGAATTGTAAAACACAGAAGAAAATCAAAAAATTCATTTGTTTAATTAAGTAGGCTGCCTTAGCTGTCTATAACGACAGTTATAATAGCTACCTTAAGGTAACAGCTATCTGCTACCTTAAGGCAGCATCAGCTGCCGTTATAGGCAGCTATAGCTATAAAGCTGCCTGAGACGGCAGCTGTCTTAACTTACCTTATTTATTTATTTATTTATTTTTGTTTAAATTTCGGGCGGGCCGCGGGTCTTATCAGGGGCCAAAAAAGGCCCGTGTTGCTCGTCGAGCCACAATGGGTCGGCTCGGGCTCTGGCCAACACCCTAAGATGGGGCTCGGCCCGAGCCTAGGCTCGTTCCATCCGAGCCACGAGCCACCCAAGCCACGGAGTCGATTTGATATCCCTACTGAATAGTGATTTGCTCTCCAGAAAGGTAGAAAACATCTCTCTTCTTCTAAGTCCGTTGGTAAGATTTTGAAATGCTAAGTTCTTAAAAAATGAATAGAGTAATGCTACACAAATAGGGTTGGTGACATGATTTAAAAATTGAGGACACATGTCAACATCCCATTGTACAATTTTTTATTTTTTAAAAAAGAGCCACACGCTGCACCTGCCACCGACCCTATTCTCAAACGCAGTCCAAGCAGCATAACTCAAATGAATATCATGAAAAAGTGTGTCAATGTACTGCTAATTTAGTTCCTTGGTAGTCGGATGAGAATTTCTATGTACGTTATTAGCACTTCAAATTTTGACAGCCCTTCTTCAACTTTTCAGAATAGTTATAATTTCTTGGGTTTTGCTAGGAAAATCGGGACCCCGCTATTTGTGGGGTTCCTGCCAGGGAGGCTAATCGCCTCCCTGTTATAAGAGCAAAACCCTAATTTCTTTTCATTTTGATTTAGAATTGGTTTCCCGTCCTAAATAACCGCAAGCTACTCAACTAGAAACAATTTTATCTCTGGTTTAATTCACCAATGGCTACCCAATTTCATTTTGTTTCATCATGACCACTTGAATGTTACCATGGCCACATAATCTGATTTTATATCAACATAACCACCCAATTTCATATAGGACTGTGCTACACGTACATAATCATTTACCTAATATTTTACCTACTACTCACATCATTTGAGTGGGACTTCGGTTCGGATCATTAAGTTACACAAGGCGCCCTCATGTTTGTGGGAGGCGGGGGGATGGTTCGGTACACCCCCCTCGGTACAAACATCTTTATTCTTTCATATAATATTTCACCATAACCACCAAACTTCGTTTCACCATTTTCATTAATTTTAGAGGGATAAAATGGTAATTTTGCATTTTATATAAAAATAAATTTAGAAAAAATAAAAGTAAAAGTTTTTTTAAAATATTTTTTTATTTTATTTTTCTAATTTAAATTAAGTTTTTTTAATTTATTTTTTAAGGAACGTTTTTTTAAAATAATTTTTTATTTTATATTTATAAGTAACTCTTTTAAATAAGTTTTTTATTTTATTTTATTTTATTTTTTAAGAAACATTTTTAATTAAATTTTCATTTTATTTCACTTTTTAAAATAAGTTTTTATTTTATATATATAGTGCAGAGTCATCGTTTTACCCAAATTATTGAAAATAATGAAATGAAGTTTGGTGTCCATGGTAAAACGTTATATGATATTTGGGTGACCATGGTGAAATAAAATCAAATTAGGTGGTCGGGGTGACATTAAGTATAAAGTTGGATGACTACAGTAAAACAAAATCAAATTGGGTGGCTATGATAATACTAAGTGTGTGTTTGAGCCACATTATTCTAAAAGAATATATTTTGGAATAGTAGATTGATAGAGAATGTATAGTTAAAAAATGAGGAAAATTTTTGAATTTGCGTGTAATATTATTTTATTAAAGAATGTGCGATTGAAATGATGTTAAATCACTATTTAAGAATGTCTTTTTTTTTAAAGAATGCAGCTCAAATAGGGTCTAAGTATAAAATTGGATGGCCATTGAAGGATTTAAACCATTTTATCCCTGATGTCGAGGCCATAAAGCTGAAGCAAAGGACGAAGCTCGAAAGGGGAATGCAGTTGAATTAAATGATTTGCTTGTCTGTCTTGGGCAGGAGCTAACAAAGTTGGGGGATGATGTAGATAAATTGTTGCAAGGTATTTTAAAAGAAACGAGACTTTGCGAAGATGATGGGGAAGAAGAAGACCGATCTTCTCTTTCTCTTTCTCTTGTACACTCGATTTTTTTTAGTATTTAGTAAGTGGAACTGTTAGATCCAAATTTAATTATGGTTCAATTCCTGGGCTCCATACAATAATTAAATTTTTTTAATATTTACAACAATGCTATATTAATTCAACTAATGATATGTTTAATTTTAACTTTTACAAAATAATGTAATTCAATCTTATGTATTTGACTGTTAAAATTACAAGAAGAAAAAGATAGCGAGCTCACAATAATGAAGAGATACATAACTGAGCTTTCAATTTAATTTCTCCTAATTGTAGAAATGATACTATGGTAGAATAATGAATTTGGACAAAATTTAAGTCAATTTGATTAAGTTGTACTTGGATTGAAAATTAGAAATAGGAAAATCATATTTCGGGTTTGGGCTAAATTAATTAGTGAGCAAATTTATTTACAGAAAAATGAAATAAATTGACTTATTTAAGATAAATAAATTAAAAAAAATAGAGAGATTCGATTCTTATTCAACTCTTCGATTCTTGGAATAGGATCGAGAACCAAACTAAATTCGTCGATTTTCAATCCAGATAATTGTTCGGGTATTTAACTTAAGAAAAATTGCTTTGATCGGTTCGATTCGATTCAGTTCGAATCAGTTCGGGAGTTTTGTCTAACCCTAACAACTGTACTTCTTGTGTGTACATTCAATGACTTCATATTTCCTTTACACAACTTGAATATTAATATCCTCATTCAAAGATACAGGGGTTAAATATCCTAACACTTTAACTTTTCCTAATATTTTTCAATTTTCGTTGAACTTTAAAAGTTTTTAGAGTCGTCATTATATTTATAAAGTTGTTATTCCTTTTGATAAATTTGATACAAAGATGAAGAAAGAAGGTAAAAATTATAATATTTTCTTCATATGTTTTACATTGATTTGTGTACACTTTTATAGGTGAAAATTTAAGCTTTACATGGTAAATGCAATCTGTGAAGGAAATCATCTGTAAATGGAAAATATTGATTTATGGGACGTGTGCTGTGATTGCTCCTTGTAATTTGGAATTGTTGGTATATTGTAATACTCCTACTCAAGTTGGAGCATGGGGATCTGTAATGCTCAACTTGGATCGAAAGAAGACAAATAATTCTCTTCCCAATGGTTTAGTAAAAATATCAGCTTCTTGTTGAGAGCTTGGAACATAGGAGGTAGTAAGAAGATCGGATTTGATTTTCTCGCAAACAAGATGACAATCTAATTCAATGTATTTGGTTCGTTCATAAAAAATCGGATTGTGAGCAATGTGGATGGCAGCTTGGTTGTCACAGTGAAACAAAATAGGTTGCAGATGGGGCAAAGTAAGTTCTTGTAAAAGGAGGCAAAGCCAAACAAGCTCACAAGTTGTAGTGGCCATCACACGATATTCAGCTTCAGTAGAAGAGCGAGAAACAGTAGTTTGTCTCTTTGTGCGCTAAGAAATGGGGCTATCACCCAACTTGGTGATGAAGCCAGTTGTGGAACGTCGTGTGAGTGGACAACTCGCCCAATCAGAGTCACAAAAGGCAGATATCTAAAAGCTACAGTTGGATGATAAGAAGAGACCATAACCAGGAGTAGTTTTCAAATAGTGGAGCAAGCAGTGAGCAGCATGAAGATAAGGCTTGCGAGGGGTGTGCATGAACTGATTTCGAATGTTGACAGCAAAGGTTATATCCGGACGAGAGATGGTTAAATAGATCAAACGACTAACCAATCGTCGATATAAGCTAGGATCATCTAGAATATCACCATTTGAGCCATTAAGTTTGCAATGTTGTTTCATGGGAAAATAAGAGGGGTGAGAGCCGAGTTGACCAGAATCAGAAAGAATGTCCAAAGTATATTTTCTCTAATTGATAAAGATTCCTTTAGGGGATCGAGCAACTTCAATCCTTAGGAAATACTTGAGATCACCAAGATCTTTGATTTTGAAGGTCTGCGCAAGCTACAGTTTGACAGAATTAACTATAGTGATGTCATTACCCGCAACAAGAATATCATCAACATAGACAAAAATGGCAGTAAATGTTCTATCCTCAGCCTTAGTGAAAAGACTGTGATCAGCTGTAGAGTGATTAAAACCTGCAAGGATGAGAACATGAGATAATTTCGAATACCATTGACGTGAGGCTTGTTTAAGGCCATACAACTATTTTTGGAGACGGCATACTTGTGTCTCCCCCTTACGACAATATCCTAGTGGTGGCCGCATGTATAATTCCTCATCGAGATCACTATGGAAGAAAGTATTATGAACATCTAATTGGTGAATAACCCAATGTTTCACTGCTGCTATAGCAAGAAGACAACGAACAGTAACAAGTTTAGCCACAGGAGCAAATGTGTCATTATAATCAAGACCTTCTACCTAAGTGAAACCCTTGGCAATTAAACGAGCTTTATAACGTTCGATGGAACCATCTAAACGCAATTTTGTTTTATAAACTCATTTGCAATCAATAGCTTTCTTACCCGGAGTGAGATACACAAGGGTCCATGTGTGATTCGCTTCGAGGGCCTGAATCTCAGAAGCCATAGCCTGTTGTCAGTGAGGCTCGAGGATAGCTTGAGAGTAAAGGACATGGTCTTGAACATTTTTGGAGACAGAAGAGAGGAAAGCAAAATGTTTTGGACTAAAGAAGCGATAAGACAGAAAATTAGGTAAAGAGTGAACCGTACTTGAGAAAGACTAGGAATGAGATGATGAACGTGGTCCCTCTGGAGGTGGATCTGAGCAAATGTAATCCTGAAAATATGTGGGGCGAGTGATTGTGCGTCGAGGTCTAGGTGATGGGGATGTAACGGTAACGAGTTCTGAGGAGCTGGTAGGTTCATCATCATTCGATGGTATTGGAATAGTTGGTTCAGTATCTGGCGGGGATGGTGCTTGGGGAGGTATAGCATGGGTGTCATGTGTATGATTTATATCGTG